CAAGGTAAAACCCTGCTCAAGATTCTCCTCTTTTTTTTTTTTTGTGCGTGAATCAACATCTTTCACGTGAACAACACCACTCAAAGTAGAGCAGAACTAGAACCACAAAAAACGAAAGAGAAGCAAGAGAAGAGGTTACCTTGCTCGAGGCTTTTAAAAGCAACAAAAGAAAAGCCACAGAACCTCCAAACACCAAGCCCACAAGCACCTAGCCGAGCAGAAATTTCAGCAGAACCTCCCCAGGCTCCAAGTTTCGTAACCCCTACTGAGAACTCTCTCCATCGAGAAGGAGCTCACAGGACTTCTCTCGACAAAGCACAAATGCCAAGCCAAAAGAAAAAAAAACACCGCAGTCAAAACCACAGCGAAGAAAGATCGGGAAGGAGGAGAATCTTCCCCATTCGTGACACAGGGAAAAAACGCGCAGGGTCAACTTACCTCAGCGAGGATCAAAGGATCACGAAGGCCCTCCTCGCCCGACAAGATGAGGCAGGCGGTGCTTCAGGAAGAGGCATCTCGGGCAGAGGATATCGGGCGAGGAGTCAAAGGCAAGGCTAGAGCTCCGCCTAGGCTGGCTCGCGACCGAGAAGAAGAGGGAGTTCGGTCGGATTCGGCTTGGGTTGCGAATGGGAGGAAAAGGGCGGACGAGGTGCGAGTGAGTTAGAGATTTAAGAAAATAAAGCCATCCCACTGCTAGATAATACAAATATAACCCCTTCATGATATATATGATGTTTAATTTACTTGATTTGCGCACATCTCGCTCGTGCACAAAATCATATCGAAGTGTGAGTCATTCCTGACTAAAGTCGACGTTCCGGAAGCGTCAATGCGGTCCGTTTCGTCATCCAAGATTGTCCGGACGACCTCGTCGTTGGTCGAGTCGGAAACGCATCAAATTCGTATTTCATCGAAATAATCGCTTGTTATCGATCGTGCTGCCACTTACAGGTGCAGGAGACGTGAATTTCAACAATTGTGTGCGTCGACGTGTGCAATGTGGCATTCGTGCATCGATGAGTGTGCGCGGACTACACAAAGTGTTTCCTAAGGCTTTTGTTCCTAAGGGTACTCGACTCGAGATTCGTAGCGCTGGTTTTAATCGACTCAACTAAGCGTTGAGAATTTAGAACCGGTCACATGAAACTGCGATGAGTCAATAAGTGGCTTGAATTTCTAATCAGTATGGGCCCCCAAACTAGTCCTCTAAGTGAGTCGGTAGGAAACCCTAAGTCTAGATCCTAAGCTCTAAGAAGAAGAAGAGACCTCACCAAAAAAGAGGTCAGCACCAGACAAAAGCTAAAGGATTTAATAAATCTTACTAACATTAAACCCTACTTGTAGCCAAACACTCTCTTATTAAAGATGACCAATTAAAGATGAATATCGATGAGGACACAGGTTACATGATTGGAGGAAGTTATGAAACCCCTAAGTGGAGTGGAGCTAAACTCCGAAACATATATACATTACATCAAAAACTCCAAAGCAAGATATGCTCTGATAAGAGTACTCCTAGGACGAGTGACCACCTAGAAATTTATATCAAAAGATGGAAGTTCAAGTTATTACAATCGATCAAGAATCCACACAACAACAACAACAACAACAAAGCCTTAATCCCACTACGTGGGGTTGGCTACATGAATCCTTTTTCTCCATTGCGTCCTATTTAGTGTCATATTTTCATTTAATTCTAGTAAATTAAGATCATTTTTAATACAATAAGCCCAAGTCTTCCTAGGTCTACCTCTGCCTTTCTTAACACAAGTAGAATTTAAAACATCTACTCTCCTAATCGGATCATCTAATGGTCGACGTTTAATATGACCAAACCATCTAAGACGACTTTCTCTAATTTTGTCTGTCACAGGAGCTACACCAACCCTATCACGAATATATTCATTCCGCATTTTGTCTCTAAGTGTAAAGCCACTCATCCACCTAATCATTCTCATCCCGGCAACACTTAACTTATTATTATGCTTCTCTTTTAAAGGCCAACATTCAACGCCATAGAGCATTGCAGGTCTCACCACCATCTTATAAAATTTTCCTGTCAGTCTTAGCGGTACTTTTCTATCACACAAAAGGCCCGAAGCATTCCTCCACTTCAACCAACCAACTTGAATTCTACTATTAACATCCCCATCTATATCACCATCGCTTTGGACAACGGACCCAAGATATCTAAATCGTTCACACCTTTTAATAATTTGATCACCCAAAGTCACACTTCTGTCACTAGAGCTATTACTACTAAAATTACATTCCATGTATTCAATTTTAGTTTTATTTAAACTGAGGCCTTTAGAACCCAATTTAGCCCTCCATAAAGAAGAATATCATCAGCAAAAAGCATACACCAAGGTACATCCTCCTGTAGACCATCCATAACTAAAGCAAAAAGATGTGGGCTTAAAGTTGACCCCTGATGTAATCGAACAAAAATAGGAAAATGTTTTGTCAATCCTCCTTCAGTTTGAACACAAGTAATAGCTCTAGTATACATATATTTAATGACTTGAATGTAAGTCATATCAACACATTTCTTCTCGAGAACTCTCCAAAGGATATCTCTTGGAACCTTATCGTAAGCTTTTTCTAAATCAATAAAAATCAAATGTAGATTCTCCTTATTATCTCTGAACTTCTCCATCAAACCTCTCAATAAATGTATAGCTTCCATAGTAGACCTGCCAGGCATAAATCCAAATTGATTATGAGAAATTTTCGTGATGCATCTTAACCTATGTTCAATTACCCTCTCCCATAATTTTAAAGTATGACACATCAACTTAATTCCTCTATAATTTGCACACTCTTGTGCATCCCCTTTATTCTTAAAAATGGGGATCAAAATACTCTTCCTCCACTCCTCAGGCATCTTTTTAGTTTTTAAAATAATATTAAAGAGTTTAGTAAGCCAAGAAACTCCCAAATCTCCCAAATATTTCCACACTTCAATTGGGATATCATCAGGTCTTGCAGACTTTCCACCCTTGGTTTTCTTTAAAGCCTCCTCAACTTCTTTTTTGCTAATGCGACGGTAAAAATGAAACGTTTTATTATTATTTACGATATTAAAATCACTAAGTTCGATCGTATTTTCAGAAACTTCATTAAAAAGTTTATCAAAGTAACTCACCCACCTATGTTGAATATCTTTTTCTAAGAAAAGTACTTTTTGATTTTCATCTTTAATACACTTTACTTGAGTTAAATCTTTACTTTTCTTTTCTCTTTGTTTGGCTAGTTTATACATATATTTTTCACCCTCCTTAGTATCTAATCTATTATAAAGATCATTAAAAGCAGAATTTTTAGCATCACAGATCATTAATGTTGAATATCTATTATAAAGAATCCACACGTATCACCTAAATACCTACTGATAATAAGGACCATAACTTACTAATGAAAAACATCGAGAAAATTAAGATGACCAATTTACGGTAGATACACGTGAGGTCAATAAAGCTAAAGAACAATAATGGGGTATTTACTTGAGAAGATTAAGAAAATTGCACCCCAACATCCTTCAGACCTTTGTGTCTCTACTGAAGATAAACTTTATATATTTTTTATCACTGCGAGCATGATGGTGCTCTTAGTTTTATATATAATTTGGAAGCCAAGATCACAATGAGTTAGCCTATATGATCATTCGATCTTTCTAACTAAAGTAACGTATTGATTGAATTCCAAGATCTGTCCTCTAACAAGTCTTATACAAACAAAATAAACCTTTAAATATATAATCCATCTTTGATACATATCATATCAAGTTGAGCAAATTAGCCATTTCACAATAATAAATCCTGATAGGCTCATACAAACTATGAATGATGATATAAAACATATAAGATCATAGATTATGAGACAATATTCTACGCACCAGATGGTAAACTTCAAACGACATTCTATTTGGTTGCTACGACATTATTTGAAACGTGACATGTATTTGACTTATATGTTTCAAAAAAGTTAATTTTATTATCTAGGAAAATAAGGATATGTATCGACACCAAAACTAGCAAACAAACCATGACGAAATCGCAATAGATAGGTGGAAAAAACAAATGAGGGCTGCTCTTGCAGCAATCAAAGGAAAAAATAAGCAAGATACAGAGATGATCTACGTTCGAGAGGTAGATCGGCTCTCCCACGCTCTATACATCGTTGGGATCAACATCAAAAGAAGAAAAACACAATAACCACAAAATAATGCATGAAAATAAAACAAGATTAAAAATTTTCCTTCTAAACTTTAATAGAATCCTCATACAACATTTACAAACTTTCCTTCTAAACTTCCCTCCAACTCCCCTCAATTGCTTCTCCTTGAATATATAATTATGGCCCGAGTGGACACCAGCCCCTCCTTTCCTTCCTCTGCGCCTCCCCCAGGTCCCTCCCCTTCTTCCCTCGATTAAAGTCGGCCCGACTGTGGGCCGGCTATGCGGCAATTGGCCGGTCCCTCTTGGACCGGCCCGTCTGTGGGTGTAGGGAGCGGCCCGTCCGCCGCTGTGACGAAGTGGGTGTAACAAAGAACTCTTCGAAGCTATTACAATAGCCATGCTCCTGACTCTAAGGATTCCCCTCTCCGTGCATGTTTTCTTCCATCATCGACAAAAATGCTTTCTTCATCAAAATTTATCCTTCTCATGGCACACAAAATGACAAAAAAATCATCTATAAAGATATGCAGAAGGCTATGAAAATAAGAAAACCCTTCCACATTTTTTTAACAATAAAATAATTCTCAATAATAAATGACCATCTAGTGAAAGTCAAATAACAAAGTTTCGGATTTCAAATTGTTCTAGCATAAACTCAGCTGACAGATTAAAAAATTGGAAGTTCATCAATGTGACAAAGCAATGGTTCAAGGTGATCAAATATTCGCATCCAACGTTTTCATACTCTATATGAACATAGAATAATGAATCATCATAATAAAAAAAAAGCATGAGCTGCTTGCATGAGTTCTGGCATACCTGTGTGCCGAATATAGAACGGCAACCAGTAGAGGAAGGTGTAGGCAACGAGCTTTGCGAAGAACAGACAACAAGCATAAGATGCCACACCGGGAAGCCTCCACGCCTCAAAAAAACCAATAGGCTCCTCCTCTCCCTCTGTGCCACTGTAATGCTTTCCTTCAGTAAGCCCGGATTGGAGGAGCCCGATCTCTTCAGAAACGAGCGAGTTTTCCCCATTCATACTCTCCACCAATCCATCACCAATAACAGCAGATTCAGCCGCAGGGTTCATCTCTACTCCATGATCCATATTCTCCAGCGCTAGATCTCTCGGATGAGCCACCAAGAATGCCAAGACCAAAACCCCCGCGAGACCAATGAATACAGCCGGCACCATAAACGACCATCCCCAACCAAAATTGAGCACGCATGACGCGAGCACGGAACCAAAAATATTCCCGACAGATGTATTCGAGTTCCAGATCCCCATAATGAGTCCCCGACTCGACGAATCACCAAACCAATTGGTCACCACGGCAACAACGCACGGCCATCCGATGGACTGTACGAGACCACCCGCAATCTGGATAACGATAAAGAACCAAAGCCGATGAACGTCTAACCAGTAAGCAAACCCAAAGGCGGCCGTAGCGATGCAACTTCCGAACATCCCATAGGCGAGAAAGCGGCGGAGGTCGACGCGATCGGCAGCGTGGCCGGAGATGTACATGCCGGCGGAGTAGGAGGATAGAAAGGCGAGGTCGACTTCGCCGAGACGGTGTGGGCCGCGATTTCCATCGAAAGGAGGCCAACCGGCGGCGGAGGAGGAAGAGGTAGATTTGGGTGGATCGGGGCCGAGCACGCTCTTTACGATGCTGGGGGGTTTGCGCGAGGCGTGAAAGGCCGAGTAGGCAAGGAAAGTAAGTACTAGGGCACGAATCTGGTGGTGGCGGAGAAGTTGAGATCGCCGGCGAGGTGGCGGAGCAGGTGGAAATGTGGGGGAGCCGTCCATGGAAGAAAAGCAACTATTTCGACGCCGTTGGTTTATCAGACCTCGTAAAATAACTGGTAAAGAAAGTTGAGTTTCTCAGCATTTTAAATTTTTTTTATATTTTTTAATTCTTTTTAAATTGATTAATTGATATATTTTATATATTCGTAATTTTTTGAGTATTTTAAAAACACCTAAAAAATATTTTGAATACTTTAAAATTTAAAATTTACATACTTAGCACCCAATTCTTACTTATATCTCACCCAAAGTTTTATTTTTAAAGTCTAAGCACTATTAAAAAAAAAAATTACATAAAGAGTGCTGATTACGTCAGGATTAGAATCACGTAGCGCATTGTGATTAGAGTTCTGATATAGTTTTACATCAGCACTTCTAATGTAATATTTTTTCTTATTACAGTCTTACCTATATATGAAAATGTGCATTACACTATTTAATGTTGAAATCCTTCTTTTCATACATAGTTAAAGGTGTTTTGTCATGAAAATGAAATTTTGAGATAATTAATCCATAAGAATTTGGTGATGTACATGTAAATTATCCTTTAAAAAATATTTATTTCAATAAAACATATTTTAATTTAAATTTGAACATAAAAACTAAAAGATAAATAAATAAAAAATAAAAAACAAAGGTAATCTTAAACAATCCCTTAGCATATTAGTTCTAAACAAAATCTCTTAAAACATGAAGTTGAAATCCTCATAAAAAAATAGAAATTTACATACATACCACACACTTGTTATGTATTTACATATCGGAAACCCAATTTTTTATATTTATACTTATAACATTTTGGTGTCATATACCGATGCATGAAAAATATCAATTTCATGTTTATAAAGAAAATGATGATGGTATTTTTATACCAATCTAAATATTTTAGTAGTATACATGTAAATATAATTGTTTAGGTGTTGGATATGTAAATACATAAGAATTGTGTGTGTATACTGATATATCCCAAAAGAACTATCTTTATCGCACACGGATCTCCATGCACGTTCTTACGAGAGCTTCAAATATTTAATTAACTTTATTTGAAATGAAGTATCTTGTTAATATGATATGCCTGACATACGTCTGGCATCTGACATAGCTCAATCTGAGTCCAAATGAGTTTAGATCATGCACTTAAAACATGTTAAAAAAAAATTTGAGATTAATTTTTGGAACCAAATGATATTCAAGTTCGACAATTTTGTAGTCAAATTGAGTAACTCAACGAGATAAATACAATAAGCATAAGATCACTTAATTCTGGTATCATTAAAATATTTAAATAATCATAAAGCAACATTAAAACAATGAAATCGATATGGGTTATCAGATGGAGTGATATGGATTCTTGTGTTAACAATTATGAGCTATACCACGGTCGAATCTTTGTTTGACCACTATTGTCGGGCCACCACATCGTCGTAATTGAACCACCGCAACCCGACCACCACCTACGTCACTATAGGATCACAATTGTTTTGCCACCGCCGCCAATCCACCACTGTGTGCCAAAACCATTGTCGCTGTCAGAACACCACTATCGAGCCGAAGTTATTGTCAGACCACCGTAGTCCAACCTCTCTGCAAGTATGGAAGAAATCTCGATCACTGCATCGAATGTCCTAGGGAGATTATCTCGATTGAACAATATAATGTAGATATTTGAATGATTTAATAATGTCTAATTGAATGATATTAGCTTGTCAAGATGCTTAATTTGATTATAGACTTGCAAGATTTAAAATTAATTTCATTCAAAAAACAACTTATGACTTGATTCAGGCTCGATTTGACACAAATCGGATAGATCTCAGTTTCATTAGGTGTGTCTCGCCGAACCGATCAATTTGACTAGAAGTCTATTGAAACTAGAGTTTCTAAAGATTGTTAATACAAGTTTGAATTATCATCATTAAAAAAAAATAACTCCAAAATTTGTGTGTCACGCCTCTAGATCCATGCTATATTATGAAAATATTGATGACATGTCAATTCACATATATAAAACATAAATATTTATATTTATTTAAATAGCACCAAAACTTTTAAATCACTTAAAAAAATATTTCTTATTAACTCTATCTTACTTAAAAAATAATTATTTTTATGCATGTATTTTGATATAATTTTACATATGCACCGCCTTTTCTTTTTATGGAATTATTTTGATATGATACATGGATTTAAATCCATAAAATTTTCATATATTTATCTACGCCATAATTATTTTTTTTAATTTCTCATATCATACCGAATTCATTAAAACATTTATAAATATTTCAATATTAATTAATCTAATAAATAAATAAATAAATATATATATATATCACACACACACATATATATATATATATTAAAAAAATAAAGTATAAATATTAAATAAACATTATACTTTAATCCTCTTAATTTTTTGATTTTCAGATAAAATGAAAATCGTTGAATGACGTCATAATCTTCATACTCAAAATTCTCTAATCTGTTCCGTCTGGTGCGCGCCTCCGGTTCCAATATAATCCCGCCGCAGCTATCGATTCCACCTCCTCCATCTCCACACTCATTTTCGGCTCCGCACAGCAGCCGAAGGAATCCAAAACAGGTACGAGGATATCATGGCGTTCTCTTCAACTATCTGATTCAGTTTCATGCTTGGTTTCATTCGAAACTCGGATAGTTTCAGTGATCACCACTCTTTATAATCCAGTGATTGTTATTTCCATGATTTGCTGCGGTTTTCAGGTAGATCGAAGTTAATTACCAAAGTTTTGATGGAGGATCTACCGGAACACTTGCTTTTAGATATTCTGAAACGAATTGATCGAACTGCGGATAGGAATTCCATTTCTGTAGTTTGCAAGCGACTGCATAGGGCTGAGGCGGAGCAACGGGATGTCTTGCGTGTTGGATGTGGGCTGCACCCCGCGATCGAAGCATTTACTGCATTATGTAGTCGGTTTCAAAATTTATTGAAGCTAGAGATTAACTACACCGGTTGGAAGCCGGCTTTGGGCGAGCAGCTGGGGAATGAAGCCTTGCAGGTTTTGTCTTCTAACTGTACTTCACTCAAAGAACTATCCCTAAGTTTTTGCGCTTTCATCGATGATGCTGCCATTTGGTTTTTATCTTCTTGCCCATATTTGACGTCTCTCACGCTAAATTTTGTTCCGAGTATCAGCTCTACTGGGATCTTATCTGCGGTAAATTGCTGCAAGAACCTTTCCACCCTGCACCTTATTCGCTGCATGACAGTGAGCAGCACTGAGTGGCTTGAGCACTTGGGGAAATCAGGAAATCTAAGGGAACTTTCCATCAAGAACTGCAGGGGTATAAGTGAGGTCGACATCATAAAGCTGGGTCCTGGGTGGAAGAAGCTCAGGAAATTGGATTTTGCCGTGGATGCGTACTATCAATACCCAAACCTCCATGATCGGTTATTGCTCGATGAACTTGATCAGGAATCGGTTTCCTGTGACGAGCTAAGAGAATTAAGTTTGACAAACTGCATAGTTGCCCCAGGCCATGGGCTGTCATTTCTACTCCGAAAATGTGCTGCTTTGGAAAAGCTTTTGTTGAACATGTGCATAGGGGTAATGCACAGCGATTTTGTTGCGCTATCCAAGAAGTCGAGCAACCTTCGTGCCTTAACAGTGCGCCTCCCTTTGAGGCTTCATGGGTCTATTCTCGAGAATAACCACTTGCCGTTGAGAGATGGCAGTTTGAGGGCACTAGCGGCTGGGTGTCCCATGCTTAACACGCTTGACCTGTCTTTTTCCGATTGGGATTATCCATCCGCCTCATTCTTTACCCAGGAAGCTCTGATTGCTGTGATTCAGTGCTGCCCAATTCATGCGTTGAAGCTTCACTGCGCTGTCTTCTTCAATGACATTGGCATGAGGGTGCTTGGTGCATCACAATGCTTGCAGGTGCTGGAGCTTTCGAAATGCCATAACGTTACTGATCGAGGATTGGCACATATTATAAAGTTACCAAGCATAAAAACTGTAAAGCTTTTCAAGTGTGTAGGAGTTTCAGATATTGGGCTCAATCCGCTTGTGGACACACACAAGTTGGATTTGCTTGCAGTTGAAGACTGCCCCTACATTACTGATACAGGTATAAAAGGGGCAGCAAAATCTATTGTCTACAAGCAAGATTTGTCATGGATGTACTAGATCAATTTATAGCTTCTCGACTCCAAAGCTCTGGCCTTATTCTCCATAAAGATGGTGGAAGTAGCATGGGCGATCTGACTTTGAATTCTTGTTTCAGGTAATGTTTTTTTATGCATGACTGAAAATTACACATTATGTTATGCCTTTAAATTCGAGGGCATAGATAGCACACACAATATCAAGTTTGAATTAAATCTCCTCCTTTATGTAAATAGCTAAATTTCTTAATTATTGTACAGATTCTTCAATTTTCTTTGTAATGTTATATTAATGTTGTACTGGTGATCGTTGACAACTATAGTCTGGGTTGGTAAAGTGTATGCCCTACCCAATGGATTTTTGAGTCATGGTGATACGATAGAGGCTGTGGAACAACCAGGACATCTATGGTAGAAGAGAATCGTTTGAGATTGTTAAAAAAAATGTTGTGAGATATATACCAGTTATTGTGGTGTATATATATATATAAATAAAATAAAAGAACGATCTTTGATGAAACGAAAAATAGAACGAGAAAATTCATACCAGAAAAAAATAACACAGCGGAATACACAAATTTACATGGTTCGGCAAATTGCCTACGTCCACGGAGTTGCAGAGGATTTTAATACTTGAGGAATTTACACCAGTCGATCGTCTCAACTTACAAGAGCGAACTCTTTCTCACTACATTGCTCTCTCTTCTTCTCTCTTTACACCGAGCTACACCGAAGAAGATAAACTTACAAGAAAAATAAATCCAATTTTTCTTCTGCCACAAGTCACCAAAAAGAAGACAATGAAGAACAATCTTATTCTTCTTTTTTTTTTCTTTCTTCTGCTGCAAGGAACTATTTCTTGCACTTTCCTTCCTCTATCTCGAGGAAACCCGAAGAACATAAAAAACCGTGACTTAAAAACTGAAGGAGAACCGTGCTTTTAATTTTCTTCCTCTTCTGTTCGCAACTTGAAAGAGGCGAGGAGCGACGTCGTTTCGTGATCGTCGAGGCGGGAGCATCGGTTTTCGCGAAACAGTGAAGAATCGCATCTTTTCACGATCTCAGCGGGAGGCAGGAGCGGTTTATATCAGGCTCCACACTTAAAAAATCTCTCACTTGGCTACCGATACGCATGCTACAACGTCATCTTCTTCGAACTGATATCCTCCACTAGCGGCGTCGTTTTTTTCTTCAAACATGAATCATCCACATTTGCAACTCAAACCCCCGTTTTCACTTCAGAAGACCAACTGAAGATATGAACAACTTCAGTTTCTCAAGAGTAACACCCTCAATCAACATATCACCAGGGTCCAAATAGTCTTGCACCTCTGATACACAAAAATAATATATTATTTTGAGTACATATTTTATGCTTATTTTTTGTGATATTGCATTTTAAAGAAGATTATTTTCATGTTTTTGTTGCATGTATATCATTTTTAGGCATTTGAAGTAAAAATGACAAAAATAATGAAATTTAGAGCCAAAACAATAAATTTTAGAATTCTAGCACATGATGCGTCGTTTGACAGAGGCTTGGCGCATGATGTGCCAGAACTGGCGCTTGATACGCCAGAGACTACTTTTTTGCAGATTAAGGCAGTTTAAGATGAATGTTTTGCGAATTTGCAAAAGGATACTTGTTCTACACATTTATTGAAGTAATTTAATGCATGTAGACACTTTGGAAGATTCTTCTACGAAGGAATGTCTCTTGGATCAAATGACACATCTTTTGAATTCAAAAGAGTTGACTTTTGGAGGAAATTTTGAATTCCTTTTTGAGATGAGACAACCCAAAATAAAAGAGAAAGACTTCAAGCAGTTTAGGGGGGACAAAAAGGACAAGAAAATGGGGGTGGCGTGAAAGGCAAGGAGAAGAGAAGAGAAAATTTTCTTCTAGGATTGTAAAAGAAGAATGAATGTGAGAAATTTCTTCTTCATAACATTTCTAAGAGAGAATTGAGTGGTTTGTAAAGAGATAAAGACTTAGAGAGAACTTATAGGGATTTGCTTGGGAAAAATTGTGAGATAAGTTGTGTTTTTGATTTCTTTCGTTTTGTAAAATTATTTTTATATATGAAATCTGTGTTTTGTCGTATCCTTTTCATGAATTCAGAGTAGTGTTCTTTATCCTTCTCCCTACTTTGAGATATGGTTTTGCGAAGAATTGAATTTGTTTTCTACGATTTTAAATGTTAATAATTTCTGATAATTTGAACTCTGATCTTCATTTACTTTTTGATCTGGTCAATTGAAATGTTAAAACATGTTGAGAAACATATGTTCTGAAAAGAACTATGATTTACTACAATAGAGGGAGAATCACATTTGATTTCATGAGAGAGAGTATGTTATCCATGAAATTGAGTGCAAATAAATAGAGAAATATACTTTGTTGGTTGCATAATTGGAGATTTTAAGGTGACAAATTAAAATATTCAATTTGGTCCAGTTGATTGGAAACTAGTGCGAGATTGTTAGCCCTCAAGGGAGGGAGTAATGAGAGCTTTGGAGTGGCAGGGGGGCCTAACCACGAAATTATGGACAAAACTCTGGATTAAACAATGCTCTTTATAGCACTTGGAAGCGGGTAAAGAATAAGATTGCTCCTATTTGACACAAAATAATTTATGTATTTATTTTCAAATAATTTTGATTTCTTCACAATCCATATACTCATTGTAAAAGAGAATGATGCTTTTTAAAATTTGAATCTTTTGTAAAAAAACTTTATTTAGTTTTCATAATTTTACTTTTTAAAGTTTAGTTTTTGGTTAGTTAACTCTGTATATCAACTGCATTTTATATAGCATTTACTTTAGTAGTTAATATTCAAACTTCACACTTTACTTTTATTTTTGTATTTTTAAATTATAAAATAATTTTAAGAATTTACTTATAGGTTTTTCCAACTTTCCTGTGGGATCGATATCTATGACTCCATTAGAACTTCTTATTACTTGAGCTATACGTATACTTGCGTTGATTTTAAAGGGGATTTGACAGTTTAAAAAGACTTTTAAAGATAAACTATTTTCATAAAAGATATATTTTTTTGGATTATATTGCATATTTATTGTTATATTTGTCGTGTGTATTTTGTAATATTGAAAAATATTTGCAAAATTTACACACTAAATCTACCCGCATCAACCTCCAAGCTATTTCGTAGATTACTCATGTCTCTGCTTACAACTCCTACTGCATGTGCAATATCCTACATCTGCTAAAAGCCTTTTTCAACAAGTCTAGCATTGTACCTCTTACTGTCATCAAACTCAGTCTTCACCTGATACACACACTTGTTGTATAATGTCTTCTTCTATGGTGAAAGTTCTGCAAACTCTCATTTGCTCAAACTTTTATCTTGTAAGATTTTTTCATAGCTTTGTGATTCTCCTTCATCTTTATTTGGAATAATAGGAATGAGTGCCCCGGACCTACTCTCCTCTTCACTTCCATCATCAACAGAACTATGAACTGTCAGCAATAGTGCATCATGTTCTTCTTCAGATACTACATTTGCGCTATCATCCTGACCAAACTTTGATTTTGATCTTCTTCTATTTGAGTTCATGTCCTACCATCTCCCTCTGAAATCAACATTCAGTGTCAAACTCGTACCTGAGATCTCGCCAGAATCTTTTCTGCGCACCTTCTCAGCTAAAACCAAATCACGAATATCATCACATTTCAGCTTATATTTACCTACAGAACTGCTAACTGCCATCCTCATGGCTTCTCAACTATTTGACAACGTTACCAATAATATCAACGCACGTATCTCATCATCAAAATCAATTTCAACAGACGACAATTGATTTGTGATAGTATTGAAATTATTCAGGTGTTGAGCAACATAAACACCTTCCTCCATCTTCATAACTTCTAACTTCTTCATTAAGTATATCTTGTTATTCGCCGATGATTTTTCATACATACCTAATAAGGCTGTTATGAGATCTGCAGCTGTTCTTTCCTGAACGACGTTGTGTGCAACGGACCTCGATAGAGTCAATCGAATAACCCACAGAACTTGTCGATCCAACAAATTTCATTCAGCCTCATTCATCCTTTCAGATCTTTTCCCTAATAACGGAAGATGAAGTTTCTTCCCATAAAAGTAGTCCTCTTCTATCTGCGTCCTCTAATAACCAAAATCTGTGTCATCAAACCTCTTGATCCTTGAACTCTTCACTTAAATCACTTTATCTTCAGTCATCATTCTTCTTTAGATCAAAATCTGTGAGATATATACCAGTTATTGTGGTATATATATAGAAATAAAGTAGGAGAACGATCTTTGATGAAGCGAAAAATAGAATGAAAAATTTTATACCAGAAAATAGTGACATAGCGGAACACACAAATTTACATGGTTCGACAAATTGCTTACGTTCACGGAGTTGCAGAGGATTTTACTACTTGAGGAATTTACACTAGTTGATCGTCTCGACTTATAAGAGTGAACTCTTTCTCACTTCATTGCTCTCATTTCTTCTCTTTCTACACCGAGATACACCGAAGAAACTCTACACCGAGATACACTGAAGAAGTTAAACTTACAAGAGAAATAAATTCAATTTTTTTTCTGCCACAAGCCACAAAGAAGCAAAAAAAGAACAATCTTCTTCTTCTTCTTCTTTCTTCTTCCTTCTGCCGCAAGTAACTACTTCTTGCACTTTCCTTCCTCTATTTCGAGGAAGCCCGAAGAAGAACACAAAAAACTGTGACTTAGAAACTAAGGAGAACCGTGCTCTCAATTTTCTTCCTTTTCTGTCCGCAACTTAAAAGAGGCGGGGGGCGGCGTCGTTTCGCGATCCTGGAGGCGGGAGCAGCGGGTTTTGCGGAACACAGTGAAGAATCACGACTTTTCACGATCTCAATGGGAGGCGGGAGTGTTTCCTATCGGGCTTCATACTTAACAAAAAATAGTAGCAATGAGTTGCAATTTGGTAATTGGGGTTGTCCTAGTCTTAAAGGAGTTCAGTACTTTGTTTATATTTGTTGCCTAGTTTGTAGAATTTGCTTATCATGATGTTAGTTGTGCCTATTTTTATGTTTGCAACTGTTTGTTGTTAGCTTATATAATGGACATTTTCTCATCAGTGAG